TATACTAATTGTTTCAGGTGTTGTTGTGAGTTGTTGGGGGCTTTCTTGTCATGTTCTAATTTCTTTAGTTTCTTCAAGAGTTTATCATTTTTGTAAGTGGTTTCAGTTTCAGCTCTCCAAGTTGTAAGTTGTTTTATCTTGTCCCAAAGTAGAGGGTGGATTTTGCTGCTCAGTTCCAGGTGTAGTGCTAGCAAATCTTTGTTTCACTGATCCAATTGGAATCTCTTACTGTGGAGTTCATTCCTGAGTAGAGCCATTTCAGTTCTTTTCAGGATACGTTTAGTGACTGCTGTGCTGTGCTGTGATGAAATGTTAATTTGAAGCAGGTTGGTGTTGTATTGTTGTCTCTGCAGCTGCATAGGAATTTGTGGTCACATACTATTCCTGCTCTTTTGATTTCCAGCTTCTCATAGGTTTTGATCTGGGTGTTTATTTCCTCCCCATAGAGGTTTGATATTTGTTTTCTTAAGTTTTCGCGGGTACTTACATGTATGGTATTCAGCTTTGTTCGGGTATTTTCCCATGTCATTGTAGTTGTGCTTTTAAAGTTGTAGCAACGTTATGTAATTTATGTATATTCAGGTTATTTAAATAATTATGAATAATACAACTCAATACAATCAATCAAATGTTGATTATGGTTATTATAGCAGCATAGAATAAAAGCAAGAAAAGTTACACTTATTTCAATAAAGTACTATAAAATTAGAATCCTAACATATTCCTATAAAATTTGTAATATTAAAACTAAGACTATAGACTGAAGTGGAGCCTCTGAAAGACATAACAAAGATGTAAAAACAAATAAAGATATAGATAAAATGAAATAGGAATTTTTAGTAAGTTTATCTATGCTCAGTACGATTTATCTGCTTGTGAATTTTAACTGCTACTAAATAAATTTTAACTGCGGCCAGGACATATTTAGCTACATTGTGTATTCTATAGTAAATAGTTCATCTGAGAGGAGAAAATCAAGAAAAAAATCTTTCATTATGGCCTATAACACATGTCAATAAGAGAAGAATGAAAGTTTTTGATTGCATTGAAAGAGAAAGTGTTAAAGAACAGGTGTGATGGCCTCAATAGTACTTGTGAACAAGAATATTTTTAATGTCACTTTTATTAAAGATTTTTACATGAATAAAGATAAACATGAACAAAATACAGATGTGGTTAAAAGAAAGAGAAATGAAAGAGAAAAACAGAACAGAAAATTACTTTAAAAAACTATTCCAATCTTCTTTGCAGCTGTTACAGAAATAGTATCACTCCTTCCCACTTTAAGATTATATCACGTAGTTCACTTCTACCAACATTCAATCCTTTTTAATTGGCAAATTTAGAAATCATCAACAGTTTCAGCATAAAGTCCATAAAGGGTTTCCAATTTTTGTAAAGTACTTACTATCTTTTTCCTGATTAAACAAGTTGATTTTATATTATTTTCTTTTGTACAGTATTCTGTTCTTATTAATCCTTAGTTTACTAATAAAATATTGTTGTAGAACCTGGTTTCCTGCCTTTCTCCTGACAAAGTGCCCAAATTTATTTCTTAGTACATTTTCATTTCTTAGGTTAATTCTATGTGGCTAGATGTTTGATATATTTAACTATTTCCAAAATACTTTACAGTGAACAATATGCCAAATTTAACTGATCCTTAATCTATTTTAAATTTTCATAATTTAAACTCTACACAAGTTTTTCACTTCCACTTAGTTTTGAATCCTCATAATTATATTTCACTTTAATCTTCTCCCAAATCATAGGAACACTCATCAGGTGATGTAGTTGTTCTGAAGTTTGGGAGATTTCTATAGCTGTAAAAATAATTGTATTCCAAAAATGAGGTTTGGGTTATGCCAGTGGCTTTAAAGCAGGCCCCACCTGAGGCTGAGAGTTTGATGTTTCTTCTTTTTCTCCAGATGCTCCACTAATGGTTTACCTGCAGATTCTCTAGTTCCTGCAGATTTCTTCATGAGAATAAGTCTTCTAGAGAACATGTGGACAATCCCTATCCAGAAAAACTCTGTTGATCTGAGCACAGCATGAAATCACAGTCTTTACTTCATCAGTGTCTCCATTCCTCATCAGCTCACTATCTCCCCCACCCCTTCAAAATTTCTATGCAGACATGATCTTATATGTCTGAGACTCTGTAAAACTCCCATTAAGAGCTGTGGGGGAGTAGCACATCAAACTTGGCTCTGAAAAGGCTCTTTGTTGTACAGGGGATGCTCAGGTAATTAAACATTTGCCTGGTTCCCATCTGGATCTAGTTATTTGAGCTAGCATAGGCTGGAATATGGCTGACCTCATTCTGAAATTCTAGAACTAGACCCTTTCTCTAATAATTCTTCTGGCCATTCCAAATGGAGCAGTTGCTCAAGTGCAAGTCATAATGGATTAAGTTTCTTCAGAATTCCTTGTTGCCATGAAGATTAAAATTGGTCTGTTGGGACCAATGTAATAAATTCTGATGGGAAAAAGGAGCATTTGAACCAAGTGAGTATTAACAGCCATGTTGTTACTTCCAATTTTGTTATCCAGTTTTATTTCTGAACATCAAATTGTTCACCATATTCTAGGTGTTTGATTTGAAAAAAAACAACCCTGCATATTCAGATTTAAAACACATTACGTTTTAATGAGTATCCCTTCCTTCCAATCAGTCTGTTGACCGGTTGTTTTTGTATATTTCAAACTGAAATATACAAAAGGTTTAGATAACAAAACTAGATGAGAGATTTCTTGGAAAAATTGGAAGAATTTGCTATACCATGTGTTGGAAGAAATATCCTTCTGGGTTCAGTTCCAAGTGGGGAAAAAGACACTGGAAACATGGAGGCTGTTTGCAAAGTTTAATGGTGGACATGGCCACATCGCCTGGAGCTCCAGAGTGAAAAGGAAGAATGATCACATGCTTCAAGGTGAAGGAAGAGATCAAGAAAAGGCTGAGGTGCTGAGAGTGCCTGGGTTTTATAACCTTTGTTGGGATTTGAATTGGAGCTTGTATTCTGATTGGTTGTCAGACTCCCATGAGGCTATCCAGGGGCAACTCTATAGGCTGTCCTGAGTTCCAGGCTTGGTTGAGTCTTCCTGGATGATAATGCACTTGAAAGGGCTTTTGAACAATTGCTATAGCTTTACCTGGAGATCTTTGTTATGTAAAGTATTCTGGCCCAGGCCTTAATGGCCCACCCATTAACAAAGGTGGGCATGAGTTTCTGCTTCTGAGTTTCCACTCGTTTTAGAGGAAATATTCTGCCTTTTTAATATTTCGCAGGATATTTTATTTTTCTAGGAGTGGGGTGGGTGATAACTTCCTACAATAGCACAGTCATATGGAAACAACTCTACCTGATAGCTTACCTTACAATCATCCCAGGATCATTTATTCCCTTTTCCTTCTCTGAAGGTAATTTCAGGGCAGTGCCTCATGCAAACAAGCTATATATTATTTTTCTTCCAATTAATAATAATGATAGTAACTTCATCAAATAAAATGATGTGATATATAAATAACTATTCCATGACTTTACAATTCTGTGTAGAAATAAAACCAAATACAAGTCTGTTCCAAAAATAAGAATTGAACAATACTGCCAGTCAGATTAAGAGTGCATCCATTGATTCTGACTCCCAACACTTCAAGCAGTTTAATTTTGTTTCATTTCCATTCAGAGAAATAGACTGAGATCTCCAGACCCCTCTCAACAATAGCCAGAAAATATGCTTAGATATCTGACAACAGCATTTGAAAGATATCCAACAGGAAGGCCACCTCCTCCTCCCTCCTCCTTTTATTTATTTATTTTTTTGTTGGAATAAAATGAGCAATACAAATGCCAAAAATCATCTTCATGTTATTCTTTTTGCTAAACTGCTTCAATAGTTTTGAAAGCTATAAAATTAAAAACACAATGATTAGTTTCTTAAAAAAGAAAAAGAAAGAAAAAGCAAGGGGAAAGGAAGAGAATATTACCATTTTTTCTGAACAATTAGAGTGACATTAAATTTAATAAATTACAAGTATGTAGTGTCTCAATAGATCAGTGTTCAGAAAACTGGAAATTAGATATATTTTTATTCACTGTACATCTAATTTAGCAGCAGCCTGTCATCTCAACACATTTAAATTCTGTCTCCTCACTTTCTCTCCGAAACCCAGCTCTTCTTTCAGAGTATAAAACCTGTTGGTGGTAATCACTTTACAATCATGGTGGAATTTAATCAGATCATGAAAACGTAAAATCTAACCTTTTATTAAATAGCAATGCCAGATTTGGTAGCCCAACAAGATAAATACAATTATTTACATTATTAAAAACTGCAGACATTTAGAATTTACACATTAGGCAGCAATTGTCTAACTGTGATTCAAACATTTAATCTTAAATATAGATTATTTCTTTCAATACCTGAGGCAAAAAAAAACAAAAACCCAAACTTACCACCACCTCCTCCAAGAAGACTTGAATTAGCTGTGGGGAAAAAACAAAAGAAACCAAAATTATATTTCCAAATAGCTATCCTTACAGCACATTTTTTTAGAACTATAGGAAAGGTAACATTTTTACCCTGTTCACTTTCTGCCTTGATACAAGTCCTTTAGGAATTCCAAAATGATGTGCAAAGTATTATATTGCTTCTCTTCCAACCCAGCATGAAATGAGAGTGATGTACTAAATTCATCTTATTAAAATTGCTCCGACCCTCTTTTCCTGCAAAACATGGTAGGACTTGTATTCTAACTACATCAAAGTTTGCAGGAGGGAAATGATTAAGGATTCCGTATCAGACAAAAACCTTACATCAGGGTAGCCTCACAAATGGCAAATAATAAACTTAAACATAATAAAATATATCTGATAAACTCAAACATGTTTTCTATTTCATTTAAGAACTATGACCTTCATACATGGACATGCACTCATAACACTCAAAATATATTTATTACAGCAGCATATATCATGATTTCACTTTCACTTCCATATTATTGTATACAAGAATTTTTGATCATTTTAAATCATAATGTAGTCCCTAAATGTTCATAAAAATCTCAAATTGAAATGTTACCATTTTAAAGTATGACAACAGAGAAATGTATGAGAAAACTACTGGAAGCCAACCCTGTTAATAATTAATACTATCAGTTAGTATAAGTATAATATAGCATAATATAAAGTTTCAACAAATGCATTTAATTTACCTATCCAATAAATCCCATTATACTATTAGCCAGTTTTAAAATAGTTGCATGTCAAAGACCTCAACAGAAATGAGAACTGTAAATTTGCTGGACATATGAACATCTATTTAAAAGGTAGGCACTAGAGACCACACAGAGTTTAAGGAATCATAGTGACAGTGTCACATAATGAGGCAAGAGATTTTTCTAGAACCAATACTATGGGGGTACCTCGTAGATTTGTTTTGTCAATAGCATTATTACCCAGAATGTGTTGGAAGAAAAATCCAGTTCCAGTTCCAAGCCAGGAATAAAATAGAGGCTGATTGAAAATAAAGTTGGTTTATTAATAAATAGAACCACCAAGAGCATGTGATTCTGAGACAGCTGACAAAATGGAGTTGGGAGTGGGTGGGTTTTATATCTTTCTGTTTTCTGTTCCTGTGCAAGATGTCCTTTAATATTCTAATGGCTGTTGTCAGATTCATATGAGGTCATGGCTGGCTCTATAGGCAGAAGGGAAAATGCAAATCCTATGTGTTTGTCTGAGTTAATCTTGTCAACCTAATTGCTTATCTGGAGTTTCTGTCAGGCCTAGTCTTTCTGAATGGAATACCAAATCTGCATTTCTAAAAGCTGGCCTCCTCAGTTTCTGCTTGGGGCAGGGAGACTGGGACTGGTTTCTGCATCTCTTAAGATTTTTATTTTTTTTCATTTCTCCTTTAGGGGAAAAATTATATCCTTCCTTTTTGATATTCCCCAAAATAATTTCATTCTCTAGGAGGATGCGTGGATGCTGACTTTCTATAAATGTCCTACAACATCTTGCATTATCATTGTCAGATTCAGTAACTCTCCTTAGGAAGAGATTCAGAAGATGCCTCCTAGAAACAGGACATCTCCCAGGGATCAACCATGATGCCTAGCCAACAACTGTTTCCACTGTTCCAGCCTTGGTTCTTGTGGACTATGACCCAAACAGAGTTTTTCCAACCTGCTGTTAAAAACATTGATATCTAAAGATAAACAGTGCCAAACAGAAAGATATAGAAGTGCTTGGCTTGACAAGAATGACCTGCTGAAGAAAACCAGGCCTAATTAGGCCCAGTGAGTTCAGATGAGTCCAAAGCCATTGGTATTTAGGAAACAATTTAAGCTTCATAATTATGTTGGAGTAATGCCAATCCATGAAGGTCTCTGTAAATTTCTCTCCTAGAACTTCTAGCTGCCTTGATTTTTCATTGAGATTTGACTTTTTATCTTTGAACTTTATCACTCTTGCCTCTTCTTGACACACAATTTGCCTGTCTTGTTTGCTTATATTTGTTTGAAACCTGGATAAACTACACAGTGTTGAGACTAAGCAGGTGTATTTATTAAAACCTTAAACCATGTAAAAATACTACACTTTGCAAAAAGCATGAACAAGGTTCAATAATAACATAATCCCTGATTTCAGTCTTGTAACCCAATCAATATGGTTCAAAAGGAAAAAAAGATGAAGTAGAAAAATGGCTGGCCAAGCGTTAACCTGGAAGCAAAAGCAAATAATTGTGGTGCTGTTGCTAAGAAAACTATATTGATGCCTCCATCAGAATTCAGGTTCACGTAGAGGGGGTTACATACACACACACATACACACATACACACACACAAATGCAATGATCCTTTCAGGTAGGAAGAGAGAAGCAACTTCCTCAAGTTGTTTTTTTCTTTGACAATCTATACAACCAGGGAAACTTGGCAGTTCCAATATATTCTTTAGAGGATGTGCAAATATTAGTGCCTCTTTATTTCCTGGCCAGGGATGATAGTGAAAACCAGCAAATTCTTTCCTACAGATTTTCACTAATGTCCTGGTGTAAAAGATATGCTAAGGTATGCAGTTTCAAATACAGTTTAAGAAAACTTGGAAAATATTTATTTTTGTGGCAAAGAAAAACATAACTGAATGCTTAATTCCATCAGTTCCAATTTGTTCTTCAAATATTAAATTAACATTTGGAACAATGCAATTAAGAAATGATAAGATGCAAACCATGGTAACATAAAGAAAGTCCAAATTGTAATACTTGAAAGTGACAGATATGTAAATTATGCACAGACAGAATCATTCTATATCTTTAGCAAAGCCCAGGCATGCCTTCCAACAAGAACATACAGTGCCAAACTCTTTATCTAAGACCGTAATCCAAGCACTCAGATATAACTGACAGGAAGTGGACTCTTTTACAAGTAGCAACCAAGCCCAAACACATGAGTAATAATTTGGGATAAAACTACATTGAGCAATGTAGGATGAAGGGAAAAAAACCCCACCAGAAGTATTTGTACTAATGAAACTAAAAGAGAAAGGGAAAAGAGACACTTAAAATTTAAAATATTAAGCTTTAAAACCACTAACAATAAGAAATCTCAACCACAATGAATTACCAAACTTTGTTCTCCAAATCCACAAGGCATAATTTTGCAGTGAAATATTGCAATGGGTCAATCTATTTTTTTGTTAAATGTTATCAGATCTGAATCAGATTGCCCCTACAAAACTGGAAGACTTCTTTTCACTGGTGATGGAAGTGATGCCAATTGAACAAGGCGGTAGGCCAATTATTTTCACCTTCCATTCCTTTATTTTGCATAAATCAGAATAAGTCTGTACAAATCCTGTTAGCAAAAGTGCCCCCTTGGATCCACACTTCAGTAACACAGAAGAGCCACAGCAGCTCAACTTGTACAGCTGCTTGGACATTAACCGAAGCATTTTTGAGCACTAGGGAAGCTAGTGAAACAATGCAAATGTAACAAAGGAAGCTATTATAAGATAAATATGGTATGTTTTTCATAGAACTGTTGAACGTTGTTTTTAAAATGTGTATAAATTGTCTAAACATTTATTTTGAATGTATAGCATAAGGGTTATAGCGGAAAAAATACTTCAAGAGCATTGCCTGTGTTATTGATAAATTATCAGTTTACTGTTCTGTACCTCCTTCATATTATCTATCATCAAATGGCTTTTATCTTTTAGAAAAGAAAAACATGTTACATTCCCAGCTTTGCGTTTAACCATTTACTTTCAAATGAAATGGTTCTATATCTGTTGTCAACAATAGTTTTGGCTTTTTTAAAGGTTATATGAAATTTTGGAAGATTTCATCTCAGGAGAAACTGATACATAGTACAGTACAAAAGGCCCTAGTAAATAAACATTACAGCCCTGTTTTTTCTTTGCTAGTATATGTATCTGACCACCTCCAGCTAAAAAGAGGAAAAATCATATTCTCTTTTATTATTATTATTATTATTTGGATGAGATTGGTCTATTTCCCCACAAAGGAGAAAGGGCTGATTTCCCTGGTCACCCATCTTAATGCTACATGGTCAGAAAATGATGCTGTAGAATTTATTTCATTTTTATCACCTTTTTTCCTTTTACCTCCCAGTAAGATGAATGGATTGTGGAAGTCCTGTCAGTCTTATTTGTTGAGTTACAACATTCAATATCAAGCATTTGGACCAAGGTAGGAAGTGAAGCCCAGATGTGGATTCAAAGCACTTCTAGGAGAGGAAAATACTTACGCTTACAAAAGTTACTTTAAAAAAACACACTACTGTTGAGAAAATGATTAGAATCCATACTCTATGTTTAACATTCAAAAGAAATATTTCATATTTTCCCCTTGCAAACAATGTTTGATTTTTTTAAACATTTTTATAAGAATAGAAATCTAGAGATAGCAACAGTATATTAAATAAATACTTTTTAAAAGTTCATATTTTATCACATACAAAAAAACAGGAATCTCAGCTTCAGGAAATAAAGTATGGAGGTACACAATTTTCTTGTCTCTTATATCCAAATATAGTGACATATCACCACTTGACTAGAGAGTAAATATAGCAATTCTAACTTCCATTTCCAGTTTTATCCCTGATTAACTGTAGACTCTTAAATTCCAATTATAAAGAGCATAATGATTTATTTCCCACAGCCAGCCTTCATGTCTGAAAGAGGAGTAAGCAGCAAAATCCACCCTCTACTTTGGGACAGGATAAAACAACTTACAACTTGGAGAGCTGAAACGGAAACCACTTACAAAAATGACAAACTCTTGAAGAACCTAAAAAAATTAGAACATGACAAGGAAGCCCCCAACAACTCACAACAATACCTGAAACAATTAGTATATAACATTTTCAACAGAGAACTCACCAAAACAGAAACAAATGTCCTAACCAAAGGATTCAATTATGCTATAGCACCCAAAAAAATCCCCACAGAATCCATCATAT